ACTTAAAAAAGTACTTTTTGCGACCGTTACAAGCCGTCGCAAATAATAAAAAAACAGTCGCAAAAGGGTTTTTGCGACGGCTTATGCGACGGCAAATAAGGGTCGCGAATGTGGGGGTGGCAAATACTTTTTGCGACCGCAAAATAACAGTCGCAAACTATTTGCGACTGCCTAACCTACTTTTTGCAACCGTTATTTTGCCGTCGCAAAAAAAAAAAAAAACACTTTTAGCAACTATTTTTTTACTGTCACAAATAATTATTTTTATAATAAAATCATATACGTTTGCTACAATAAAAAAATCAATTCCAAGCACCTAACAATTTTTTTTAATAAAAAATAACAAAATTAACAAATTAATTTAAATTCATAATAGAAATACTAACCCATTCACATATAAGTGTGCAAACAAAATATAAACTTTCATACATGCAAAAACAAATATCCATCAACCATCATTACAATATATTGTACTAAAAGATTCGAGTCCTCAAAAAAAAAAATAAATAAATAAATAAAAAGAGCAACATAATCTCAGTTTGGCTCCCAAACATCACCCGCTCGATTACTACTCCCTCAACAAAACCTGCAAAAACATATACACGTGACTTGAAAATTTAATGCAGTTTAACTTGAAATAATAAAAATAAAACTATTTCAAAAAAAATTGTCAAGAGAAAAATAAAAAGCTGTCAAAATTCGTGTCATTGATCAGATGGCAGCCAGACTACACCATGTAATTAAAGGGATTTACCGATGCATACTATAATGAAAATTCACAAAACCTAAAAAGCCTTTTCTCAAGATTTTCCAGAATTGTTCATCTAGTTTGCTATAACTAGAAATATATGCTGCATTTTGTTCCATATCCAATGGATGTTCATAGAAATCTCAAGCTATCATTATATGCATGTTGGGAAACATGAATTCGCCAATAGTCCGTGAATGTTACCATCGAATTATCATTGTATTTATGTTGTCATGCATCAATTATCACCACTAACATGCTTCTTTCTAACTCACTTCATCTGAAGCGAATAGTGACAATTTCAACCATGTGTGTTAGAGAGAATTCAATGCCATCATCCACTGGTATTTTTCAAAGGCTTGCAACTTTGAAGTAAATATTCAACAACAATTCAACTATCAATAGCAAAGCCTGTTCATCATAAATTTCTACCATTTAATTAAACTAAGCTTTCAAGATCCAAATACATATGGAACAGCCCATAAATTTGACTAAATTCATAAATACTTGGTGGATGGTTTTTTTTTTTTTAATTTTATTTGTTCTTCTGGGAAAAAGAATTGATTAACAGCAAAGGGCTTCTGGTATTTGCATTAAACTAAGGGAAGATTAACAGCAAGCTCTAAGGACCCCACTCCATATATAAACAAACAAGTGGCGAAGACAAATTAGAGACCATAGAAGAGAAAGCAGAGGGTCTGTTGCAGAATTCGCACCTTATACATGATTCTTTGGCTTCGATTGATGTTCAAACCCAACAAGTGGCGAAACTGACACAGAATGTTGAAGTTCAAGTTAACCTCGTGTTAAGGGATACAGAAGCAGTTTATGAGCAATCCAAGGGAATTGCAGCTTCTCAGTCAGAACTACAAGAATGCTGAAGAGATGTGCATCTTAATTCCTTAACAAAACTACTAGTCTATTTATTGTGGAAAAGAAAGCTGAATAGACTCACCTCAGCTTCGCTTGTAAGATCAAGTTTCTTCACGACGTACATCTGGATAAATGAGACAGGCAAATTACCATTCCTGTGAGAAAGGAAAAATACAAACAAGTAAAAACAAGTAAAAAAATTATATGGCATGATACTAATCCAAAGCTACAAGAGTTCTCTTCAAATAACACAAAAATCAACTAAAATGTGCAGAGCACATCAGCAAAATACCTCAGCTACTCTTCTTGGTCATCGTCGTTGCCATAACTTCCAGAAGCAAGCATCACCCAACTCAGAACATAGTAAGAGATGAATCATAAGGTCCGCGAACGAGAAGTATCTGGGAAATAAAGAGGAACAAAGAGTGCCATGATAGTGGAAAGAAAAATCATACCCATGATTTGAATAACATCATCAAGCCAAGCAAGGTTGCTCACAACTAGGTACACACCAGCCATGAATGCCAAAGACATCATGGCCAGAGATAACCCAATAGTGGCAGTACAAGCCTAAGTGCAAAGAGGACTAAATTGAGGTCACCCAAGTGTGCCCAAATGAGAGTTACTATGGCTATGACAGAGTTGTACATGGCTATGGTGTCACTGATCAGAAATGCTTTGAAGTAGTTGCTGTTTAGCAGAGTTGCCGTGCCTTTGACTGGGGCGGAGCTTTTGTAGCCGCCAGGGACTGTGAAACCGGCTGTGAAGGTTACAGTGGCAATTATTGTTAGTACTAGCATGAGAGTGTTGATTCTTTCCTTATAGTTTTCCATGTTTGGGGGCTTCCATTTCCTTGAACTGTGTCGGTTTGGCTTTTGATGCTTGGATCTTGGTGCGCCAGCTGATTTCAAGGCCATCCAAGTTAACCGTTGCAGGGTACAAAACAGTTTTAAATTTCAATCCAAGTGTTTGTGAGATGCAAATGTGTGACTTGGGTGTTGGGTCAATTTAGTTGTTATAATTCTAATTGCACCAATTTTATTTTTTAATTTTTACATGTTGTGTCAATTTAGTCTAATTTCTAATTTTTAGAAATTAAAATGAAATCAACAAGCTAAATAGTTCATTCGCTCTCTTCAAAGTGATTGAGGGGTTCACGGCCAATCTGAATAGTTCATTTTCTATTGAATGAATTATTTTATACTTGATTTCTGCTCAATTTTCAACCGTTATTATTAATTGGACTAAAGTTTGACTCCTGACCATTTGTCCTATTCATAAGCTTAGGAGGTCGGCTTAGGGATTGGCCTTTAAACCCCAAGTTTACGCACCTAGTTAGGTTAAAATATTCTATCTAGATTGAGTTCTCAATCATAAAAAAAGAACAAAAATGCTTTGAATCCCCAAAGTTAGGGACCCCCACAACCCTTAGAATGATGTGGACCAATCATGTGTTTTTGTTTTTTTTTTTTTTTCTTTCCTTCGTGAACCACAGAAATCCATCACCGATCATGACTATCAAACTTACAGTAAAGATATATAGATGAAAATTAAAAGCAGATCAGAAAAATATGTGAATCTCGGTATAAATCAAAGTTACTCAGCAATGAATGAACACAGATATAACCAAAGCTTCGTAGCTGAGAGAGAGTTAGATCAATCATGAGTTCAAATCACTCCAAAATCTATACACAGGTATTTGAAATAGAAATAAATAAGAGAAGAATAGAATTAAATCAAAGCGATTCAATCAAATAGCAAGAGTTTAAACTCATTCAAATTGATTTCACACATAGGGCCAGAGTATAATACCATGAGATTACAGCTAAACACACACAGATTTCCACACACACACACACACACATGTATGTATATATAGAGAGAGAAAGGAGAGAGAGAGAGAGAGAGAGAGAGAGAGAGAGAGATTCATACCACTAGAGTTACGACCATGGCGAGCAAAGAGAGCGAGAGAGAGAGAGTACGAGAGAGCTAGAGAGAGACCTCTCTGTTTATCAATGTCGTGAAAATGACAGTGAAAGGGGCTTAGGGCATAGGTGAGTGTAACAAAAGGGCAAAATAAATTGGGGTCAGTGAAGGGAATAAAAAATAGGGGTAAAATATGGCTTTTGGCACAGATCATTTCCAAAAATGTTTTCTTTTTGCGACGGTTAAATAGTGGGTCGCAAAAAACTAGACGCAAAAAGTCACTTTTTTAGTAGTGAAGGGAGGTCGGTGTAAATATATTTAAACTGTGGAATGTGCTATATTTTCTCCGAATCACAAAGGAGGTTAGTGAAATTTACCATTTTTTAACTATCTGGGAAAAACAAGAAAATAAAATGAAGTAAATGCTTTTAGACAGAACAATTTATTTTCTGATGAGAGTTTGTCCAAGAGGACAAAGGTCAAGTGTCCAATAAAGTACTGAAACATTGCCCAATTATATAAAGCAATGCTAGTGTTTTTGGAATCCACTGTCAACAAATTTAGTGACTCCCATTTAGGTTTATTCTCTTCCATAAGCTAGAGTTGGTCCCAGAGACTAAGTTTGATATCTGAATAGTTTCTAAGTTGCACATCAGAGTAGATGGACCGTCTTTTTGGGTCTGCTGCAGAAACATGAAACAATGTTTGAAATACACAAAAATGGGAACGATAATTGAACTGTCAGAGCATATACCGAAACTAAGATAGTATTACACATTTAAAATAGTATTCACTTAAGCTTGGCTAATAGAGACATTGAATAGTTGATGAAATTATTACACATTTCTCTAGTGGTTTGAGCTCTTACCCCTGTTCAAAACACAAGTACTTGAGTTTAATCTATGAAGCACGGACACCTTTCCGGCGGCAACGTATTGGACACACGGCGGACACGTGTCGGACACTCTCTCTAACGTGTCCAGAATTTGTTTTGATTTTTTTCCAATTGGACACTTTGCGGACACGCTCACAGACACTTGAGGGCTATGATACACGGATACAGACACGGGACACGACACGGATATGTGGGCATGCAAATTTTCAAAAAATGGGGGATACCAAATGCTAGGGACATGCTTAATATATATAATTTTATTTATTTATTTTTATTTATTTACTTTAATATCAAATTTCATTTACAAATTAATTTTTTCCTACAAATAAAAATAATTTATTTTATGTGTGTTTAAGTTGAGCAATCAAGAATACTCAAAAAATAGAAGGGGAGAAAAAAAATAGAAGAAAAAAAAGAAGGGATTTTTTGGTTAAAATATATATATGTATATATGTATATAATATCAGGGACAAAGGGGAGTAAAAAAAAGAATAGAATAGAGGAGAGAAAAGAGAGACGATCTCACAGAAGGAAGAGAGAGTCAAAGAGGCAGAGTCGATGAGTTCAACACAAGCGACAGACAAAGTCGAAAGTGAGAAAGAGACGCGAACATAGACTCACGGAGAGAGACGAATAGAAAAAGAAGAAAAATAAAGAAAAGAAGAAGAAAAACGAAGAAGAATAACAGATGTGAAGAAACGAAGACATATTCGAAGAACATACCTCGATTTAGGGCTTCAGCACGTTCTTCTTTACCCTTTCACTTTCTCTCTCTCTGTATTCAATTAGTTAGGGTTTTTATCTCTCTGTATTCAACGAGTTGGGGTTTCTTTTTCGTCGTATTCATTGAGTTAGGGTTTCTCTCTCTATGTCTTTAACGTGTCCACAACGTGTCTAGTTGGAAATTTTTTTTTAAAAAAAGGGGACACATTAGGTAGTGTCTGACATGCATCCACGGCGTGTCCGACGTGTGTCTATCCGACACGTGTCGGACACCCATACGCTGCCTGAGGAGAGAGAGAGAGAAGTCGCTCACTTGTAAACCCTAGACGAAGCTATCGAAGCTTTTGAAGGTCCCTATTGAAGTAATCAGAGATTCGCAGGTAGGTTTCTCTCTCTCTCTCTCTCTCTCTCTTCTTTTCTTGGTCTCTCTTCATCTCATTGTCTTCGTTCTTCTCTCTCTACTTCATTGTCTTTTTTCTTTTTTTTTCTTTTTTTTTTCTTCCTTTAGACTTTGTTTTTTAGTCTCTCTCTCTCTCTCTCTCTCTCTCTCTCTCTCCTCTGTTTCTTTCTCTCTTTTTTTTCTTCTCTCTTTTCTCTTTAATTATATATTTTTTGAACCCCTTTTATGAGGTCAGCTATTGGATAAGAACAAAAATTTGGCAACCTCTCTATTTTTTAATATTCATCTTTGGCCCTAACATGCATAGAGCAAATTATTTTTATCTGAAGAAAAAATAAATTTATTGAAATTGCTCAATTTATTTATTAGGTAAAGTGCTGAAATTGATGAAAAGTTGTAGATATATATTTTAAAATATTTGTTCATGCTATTTTCTATTACTCCTTAATTTTTTTTATGACACAATAAATAGATAAAATTATATATTTTGAGCGTATCCCCAGCGCGTCGTATCTCCTATTTTTTGAAAATTTGTATGTCCGCATATTCGTGTCGTGTCCATATCCGTGTCCGTGCTTCTTAGAGTTTAATTGACAACAAAATTCTTGCTCAGGTGAATTTCTTCTTCTGATCTTACATGAATTGATGCAGAAAGTAAAGACTAGCGTTATAAAGAACAATTGTAATCCGGAATGGAATGAGGAGTTAACTCTTTCAATTAAAAATCCAAATGTTCCAATCATCCTAGTAAGTTACTCTTCCACTTATTTTTATTCTTTCACTATGCAATGATTGGCTATGAATGTGATTATGCAATTTATTTTTACTACTATGACTGTATTTGGTTCATGGAAATAGGGATGGACTTGGAAAGGGAAAGGGAAAAAGTATGTGAAATGTAGGTGATATTTAATTATATTTTATTCACATTTCACTTACATTTTTTCTTTCTCTTTCCAAATCACTCTCCAAATCCATTAACCAAATACGGCCTAAAAAGCAAATCTTTATTTTGTGTAATGATATGAATAGCATCACCAACAACGTTCAACTTGATTAGTGATCAAGAATTTAAGCTACAGAACCACTATTTGTTTGTTTGTTTTTTTTTCAAATTTTTATCTGCCAAAAATGATAGAGCATGTAATAATGTTTGTTCTCATTTCCCATTTCTTCTTGAATTTTGCAAGTGAAGAAGACAAATTGCAACAACCCAATTTTGAAGATTATTATTAATAGCACATTCGGTTTTGTTTGTTTATCAGAGTGTGCATGATAAAGACACGTTCACCAACGATGACAAAATGGGTGAGGCAGAAATAGATATTCAACCATACATAGAGTGTATGAAGATGGGCTTTCAGAACCTCCCCAATGGTACTAAAGTTGGTGAAGGAGTTCAGCCAAACAGCAAAAATTGCCTAGCCGAAGAGAGCTGCTTTGTCTGGAACAATGGTAAAATTTGCCAAGACATGCGTCTTAAATTGAGGAACGTAGAATGTGGGGAGGTAGAAGTCCAGATTGAGTGGATTGATCTTCACGGTCATAAAAGTTCCCAGAGTTGAGGTATGCTTTGTATCGGCTTGTAGTATGTTGTGATATATGGGTTGGTATTAGACTAACCATATATGTAATCTTTTATGTCGGTACTCTGTAGTAATTATCTTACAATGAATCCACCAATCAAATGTATCAGTCTGTTTGTGAGAACAAGATTGATGTTTTGCATTGGCAGTGCTTCCATTTCCATGTCATGTGACCTAACACTTGGCTTGAATTTTGTAGTTCTGTGTTGTAATAATAAGAAATTCCTTGCCTACAAGTCATTGTGTTCTGTCTCTCTTTCATAAGCGACTTGAACACACACATGTATTATGTATAACGACTTGCCTATAACTAATTTTTCAAAGTTTTCTATTTTTTTCTTTCACTTTATTTTATTTGATTTTTACTTTTTACCAAATTTTCTTTCTAATCAAACAGAGGTTGAATGAAAAGTGATAGCAAAACAGATTCCGAAAAAAGATTGTCCGCCATAGTGGGTGTTCTTGTTTTTCTGCCGGTGGCCTTGTTTGGTTTAACTCTCAAAACACAATTTTTGAAAAAAAATTTCAAAATTTTGTTTGGTTGGAAATTTTTTGAATTTTTTTTTCTTCCAAATCACTCTCTCTCAATCAATCACTTTTTCTCTCTCATTTCTTATTCTCAATCACTTTTTTTCACACATATCTATTCAACTACCATAAAATATCAAATCATGCGAAACTCCAAAATTATTTTCAAAATATACAATCAAACAAACCTAAAAAATTTCCAAACTCTCTCTTCAAATTTTTTTTGAAAATTTATTTCAAAACACAAACCAAACACAATAATGTGTTTTGCTTCAAGTAATTCTGTCACATCGTTCAGAGTTTTAAGTTGTGTTTGGTTTATGGATTTAAGAAGAAAATTAAAAAAGAAAATATAGGTAAAATATATTTATATTTAATTTATATTTCACTTAATTTTTTTTTTTGGTTTTTAATAATCTTCTTAAATTCATAAATCAAATATAGTCTTAATGATTGATATTTTATTTACATTTTTTATTTCTCAAGTTTTGAACGTATTCTTGAAAGTTTGGTATATAGTGCCAATTGTTTGGAGACATTATTGTAAGGGAAAATAACAAATGTGCAGGGAATTTGTAAAACTTAATTATAAATGTGTGGAAAAATTTATAATTTTATTTTTTCATATGTATACAATTTATTATTAATCTATAAACATATATTTTTTTAAATATGCACTGAAATGAAATTACTCCATTATTATATACTCATTTTTTATTTTAATAATAATAGAGTCAGACGTTTTACCATTTTTAAAAAAAAATTAATTAATGATAAGAAGGATTTCACTGTTGTGTCAGTGACTGTTGTGCTTCAATTTGAGGTATATTATGAGTTTATTTTTATGATCCGAACAGCCATTTTGTAGGGTTTGTTGAGTACTTCATGCCTACCAAAAATCATATTAATTGGATATCAATAACTATATGATCGACAATCAAAAAAATAAACAATAAGTTTTTCTTTTGAAAAATAGCATAAAAAAATATGTAATTCGATCATATAGTTATTGATATCCGATTAATATGATTTTTGATAGACATGAAATACTTAAGAAACTCTATAAAATGAACGGTTCAAATCATAAAAACAAGTCCATAATATACCTCAAATTGAGGCACAACAGCACAATAGTGGCTCCATTTCCCATTATATACTAACAATCTTATAGCTAAATATTTGGGCCTACCTTCTTCATGGGGCAGATCTAAAGCTGAAGCTTTTGGGAGTCTGATTGGAAAAGCGTTGGGCAAAATGCAAGGGTGGAAATGTAAGCTTTTATCTCAAGTGGGTAAGGAAACACTAATCAAAGCTGTCGTTCAGGCTTTGCTCTCCTATGCCATGTCCTGTTTTGAAATGCCACAATCTTTCTGTGCTAAGTGAAATTATCTTGCTCGAAACCATTGGTGAAAAGGGGATCCGGATAACAAAGGCATCCCTTGGGCAAGTTGGGATCATATGACAACCCCCAAAAATCAAGGAGGTATGAGCTTCAAAGATTTCAAAGCTTTTAACCAAGCCTTACCTGCTAAGCAAGGTTGGCGTCTCCTTAAGAACCCCACTTCTTTGGCTCATGTGTATAAAGGCCTTTACTTTCCAAATTCCACTTTCTTGTAAGCATCCAAGGGTAAGAGAACATCTTGGGCATGGTCAAGCCTTCTCAAAGGTAGGGAACTCCTCCAAAATGGGCTCCGGTAGCAAATCCAAAATGGCAAGCTTGCACACTTTTGGAAGGACAAGTGGGTACCCTCTACTAAAGATTTCAAAATTGCTTCGCATAAACCACCTTATTGTAATGTTCAAAAAGTTGCTGAAGCTATTGACCCCATACATAAAACCTGGAATCGTGAAATTCTCAACGAGTGGCTTTTGAAAGAAGATTTAGAGGCTGTTCTTGCCATCCTACTTGCAGCGGTCAATATAGATGATATTTTAACATGGCACCATACTCCATCGGGAGTTCATTCAGTCAAGTCGGGTTATGTCCTAGCCAAATAGATCTGCCACAACTCCAATGGTTCTAACAAACCCTCGGAATCTCTCAACCTTGGAATAGATTTTTGGAGTTCAATTTGGGATCTTGATGTTCCACTCAAAATCCGACACTTCCGGTGGCGAGTCTGAAATAATTTGTTGGCCACAAAGCCGGGTTTGTTTAGGCGTAAGTGTGCATCTTCTGGTGAATGTCTTATTTGGAGAAAATGTGATGAATCCATGGAGCATCTTCTGTTTGATTGTCCCTGGACCAAGGCTGTTTGGTTTGGCAGCTCTTTAAATATGAGAGCGGATCAAGGCTCGATAACAAATGTGACCAAGTGGACCAACGATCATTTGCAAGGCGGTAATTCAAAAAAAGAATCCAAACGCCTTATTAGTTTAGTTGCTATTGTTGCCAGGTTCATATGGAAATCTAGAAATGATTTCGTCTTTAATCATCAAGTGGTGGACCCTCAAGCCACTTTGCAAAAGATCACTCATTTCCGGAAGGAACAAGATGATCTGATTGGCCAATTCAACCCTTTCCATCAGGCCTTAGCCGTCCCCAACCATAATCCCCGATTAGGTTGGCAGCCAGCTTCCCACAGTACAGTCAAATTTAACTGTGATGCAGCTTTTTGCGAACATTCTTCATCAGCTGTAATGGCTGTGATTCTTAGAGACTCAAAGGGAAATCTACTAGATGGTTGTGCTAAGTCTATCAAGGCTTCATCTGCAGTACAAGCCGAGGCCCATGCAGTGTGTATGGCGTGTCTCATGGCTCAAGCTCTCATTCTCTCCCAAGTGGAAATCAAAGTGACAACAAAATGTTGCGTTTCTGAAATAGTTCCACCATGGGAGTATAATGCTGTTATTATGGGTATTCGAGGTCTTGCTTCTCCAACTTCTGTTTTGTTTTCTTGGACAAGAAGAAACAACAATGAAGCAGCACATTGGGTTGCAAAAGCTTGTCTTTCTAAGTCTTTACCAGTAAATTGGGGTTGTATGCCCACGTGCTGCTTTTGTTTCCGTACTAAATTCTGATGTATCCCATTGTCCTCTTTAATTGAAAGTTTGGGAGTTAAAAAAAAAAAAAAAAAATCCATTTTTTACAATAATGCTGCCATGACTCAAATCTATAATGCTCCCCTGATTCAAATCTATGACAACTTAACTTTGATGGTATATAATTCTTTATTTTTTAGAATATTAGATTGGCTGACGTTTCTTTTTAGTTAGAAAATTTAATTTATTAGGTCTATGTGAATTCACTACAGAGTTTATATTGATAATCCGAACCGTTCAATGCATATGACTTGTTGAGTATTTTATCTTTATAAAAAATCATGTTGATTAGATAAATATTTGACCAGATTACATTTGTATTAATAATTTATTTTTAAAATTATAGTTACTGTTAACACAAATTTAACCTGATCAAGTGATTATCGATATATGATTAACGTAATTTTTTATACAAATAAAATACTCAATAAATTGTACATATTAAATATTTCAATTTATCAATGTGAGTTCTATAAATATAAAATCTAACAACACGTTTCAGCCTGAAATCGGACCGAGAGAAGCTGTTCTGTATTGGATTATAATTCAAACTTGATGGTCGTTGAGCGGTTAGCCCAACACACTTATCATTTGATGCGATATACCACTTTGTTGTTGGAAATGGTTAATTTTTCCTATAGTTTGGTCTATTTTTTAGGTGGGCCCCGAGTGTCGATTTACTCGGGTCAAAGTGGTAACGCGTTCTATGCCGCGTTGTGATTCACGTGGTATATTTGGTTGCTCAAAACCATTACCGAGTGAATGGGAAATTGAAGCCAAAGTGTGCTCCATGGAAATGGAGTTTTGGTGGAAATTCCTTAAGGTTGTAAATTGGCTTGTCCCACATTGATTTGGTGGGAAGTTTTGAAAGGGTTTATAAGGCTTAGGGTGAGATACTTGGGGTGTGCCCCAAGGGGTACCCAAGTGTTTTAAAGGGAGAGGTTATGGGCAAAATGGGCTAGACCCATTGGACCCAAAAATCACCAGGCGGGCTTGGGCTTGGGCGCGAGTGCGTGTGCATGTGCGTGGTTGGGCTTCTAATCTTTTTGGGCCAAAAACATTTGAATTTAATTTTATTTTTTATTAAAATAAAATCCAGAATTCAAATTAAATTAGTTTGGATCCAAACAGGGCCCTTCCCGTTTTCAAACAGAAATAAACTGTTTTGGAATTAATGCACACCCAAACAGGGCCCTTCCCGTTTTACTATCTGTTTGAATTAATTCAAATCTGTTTGAATTCAAAACCCAACAGGTATGATACCTGTTCAATTCAAAACCAAGAGTTACATACCTGTTTATTTCAAATCCAAGAGTCACCTTCACATCTATAAATAGGACCACCCTCATTTGATTTTTTGGATTCAGAAATTTCGTATTTCACTTCTGTTTTCTATTCTTCATCTTGCTGCATTTTATTTCCGAAAAAAAGAGTGTAAACACTTAGTGTGTTCGTAAGGCAAACAGTTAGTAGTGCTGCTATTGTTTGTGGTAGATCATTTCATCCTGGGAGATAGACGTCCAAATTCTGAAAGCACCGTGGAGAGGACGAATCTGTCTTAAGGACACAGTGTCAAACACTGGACTTGATCAGAAAATAATTCAAAGAAATTAAATCAAGTAAGTTATTTAATTACTTTCAGTGTTGTTTTTATTTGTTTATTTATTCAGATTTTAATTTTGTTTTTGTAACAAAATAAAATCTGTTTTTATTTATTTTTTTTTTTTATTTCGAGTTTGATTTTTGTAATCAAACATATTCTCTCCTTTTCTCGATTTCTTTTATTCTTGTTGTTGTTTTGTACACAACAGAATTAAATCCTTTTAAATACAGTGAAGATTGTATCAATTAATACTAAAATTATTAATAGTATCAATTAGTATAATTTTTTTTCCCATTAATCACATTATAAATATCAAAAACCTCTTCAATTATGCCACATCATCAATTGGTACACTAATTAATATACTAATTAGTGCATATAGCATTATTCTAAATTAATTAATTTCAATTAATGGCTTAATTAACATCAATTAATACTAAAATTATTAATAGTATCAATTATTATAAAATTATTTTATTTTTTTATTATAAATTAATTAGTGTCAATTAATGGCTTAATTAGCATCAATTATTATTTTTTATTCATTAATTATTATTTTTTTATTAAAAAAACACTGAAAACCTTTAAAAAAAAAAAAAAAACTGAAAACCCTAGCTCCGGCAGGGACAGCGGTGACGAATCGACGTTAGGGTTTGAGATTAATCCACAGAGAGAGAGAGCCGTTGAGAGAGCAACGCTGAATTATCACCGGAGGCTGCCTCTTTCTTCTCCACCGGCAAAAAGATTGCGAAGAAAGCGATTGCAGAAGAGAGAGAAGCGATCGATCGCACTAGGGTTTGATATCATTACCGATTACGCTAGGGTTTCAGATCGTCACTGAGTGATCTAGGGTTTGAGATTGATTGCGCTAGGATTTCAGATTGTCATCGGCGACTCCAGGGTTTGAGATCGATCGCGACGGTTAGGGTTTTGCCTCTCAATTGTGATCGCGACGGCAAAAGGTCGATTGAGAGAGAGAGAGAGAGAGACATGGGTGTGTTTGGTTTGTGTTTATAGAGTAGTTTTTGAGATAAAAAGTACGAAAACTTGTTTGGTTTGTCTTTTTTCAGAAATGGTTTTGGAAAATTATTTTGGAGAGAGAGTTTTAAAAAAAGTGATTGATTTGATATGTATGAGAGAGACGGTGATTTTGAAAAGTAGATAACCAAACAAAATTTTGAGATTTTTTTTAGAAAAATTTGTTTGGTTTGACTACTCTTGAAAATTTGTTTGTAGAGAATTTTTTCCAAATTTTTTTTTCTGAAAATCAAACCAATTGGATACCAGAAATTGACAAAAACCTCAACTCTCGTTGGAAATTGCCATCCTCGCCAGAAATCGCCACTCTCTCTCTCTCTTTCAGAGTGAACAGTGTAAGAGTGTGGTTTATATACGGAGTATTTGGTAATACCAGAATTTGATGAGGGGCATTTAAGTAATTTTGCCCCTCCAAACCAACTTCCCGCTTAAGCTATAATCTCCAAAGTACCTCCTCAGCCACTTCAAGAAAAAGTTATTTTTCCACTTAATTTAAGCTATAATCTGATGAGTTAAGCTGCACCAAACACAATGTTTTAACTTAAATTAAACTAAAAGTTCAAATAAGTAGCTTTTAAGCTGCGCCAAACACCCACCATGTGTGACGCCTCAAAATTTAAGGACATCATAATAAGATTTAGAATTTAAAATTAACATTGCCACCAATATTACTAACATCCATTAATTAACAACCCAGAATTTAAAGTTCTTACATCACAACTTAGTCTTAGTACATAAAAGAAATGACACAAATATAAAAAGAAAACTAGAGAAAAACTAGAAATTTTAAAAAATAGTTCATGGAACTTGACACTTCTCAAGCTAACCAAGGTTGAGTATCGCCTTGCAAGGCCTCAGTGTTTCCTTCGGTTTCTTCAGTACTTGGCATAAAATGCCAGGGTAACGAGAATACCTGTGAGCGACGAACTCAATAAGATACTACAACCCGAAAATGCTCACCCCGATAATAATACTAACAATTTATGAATAATGTGTAATAACAAAATAACAAGTAACATTTAGTAAGCATAAAATGAATGTTATCAGTTAAAATAATAACAATAGATAATAATAAATCAATTAAAAAAATATATAACAAATGGAAGCAGTATTTCATCATAAGGAATATGCCCACATTTCTTTTTAAATTTTCATAGATTTAGTTTATCGGATAAATTTAAGTAACTCCCCGCGGAGTACTATTTTCACCCAACCGCTAAGCGATGGCCACGGGCAATTCTGACTCCCCCTTGGTCAAATATTTAAATGTTACCAAAAATGCCCACATACCAAGGTTACGTACCCGAGTCGTGACATCACGGTCTGCCTCAAGGGAACGGTCTATGTTGTGACACCTGCACCACCAACCTTATATCGCCTACACTGATAAGAGCGGAAATACCTTCCCGTGCCATGTTAGGGTTCGCAATTCACTTGCGCAAGATTCTAAATCGAACTCACCCCATCACTTTTAAAATTTAATGGATCATTGGTTAAATTTCGTGTTTCTTTACTTGTTGATATATTCACAATAATTCAACATTTAATTACCAATAATGTTATACCAACTTATTAAAATTCCCAACATAAAATATTACACATGTCACACAATAGTAAACAAATGTACAAAATTTAAATAAATAATTTATTTAAACCATGGTATGAAATAATAATGTAGATACCAAAAAGAAGAAATAAATCATAATCACACACATGCATGGATTTTTAATCTACAAGATTAGATTAGCACAATATTAAATTTTAGTCCAAAGAAACAATTGAAGAGATAATTTTTTATTGCTTCTTAATCTGCCAAAATTTTCAGAATGTATATCTTGCAAATAAAATTATAAATAAATTACTTATATAACTCTAAAATTCATATAAATCTACAGAATACTTAATAAACATGTTATGGTCATTTTTCAGAAAGAATTTTTCAAAAACAAATTATAAATAATTCTTAAAAATTCCAAAAATGTTCATGACACAGATTTATCACATTTTCTTAAATTAATTCCATACTTAAATTTATAAATCTAAAAATTTATTATGAAACTATACTTCTCAAATTTCATTTTTTGCTTAGAAATTACCAGATTTGGTTTAATATAAAATTTTTAATGATTTTTCAAACACATAATAAAATCTGCCTATAGATCCAGATTTGGTTAAATTTTTTTATAAATTCGTAAAAAACTCCATAATTGTTGAAACATTTTGTGAATGAACTAGACATCATTCTCAACAACTTTGTAGAAGAAATCTTCTTCAAATTTTGAGTAGAAAATTGTCTAAAAATTCGTACAAATTGTCTGACAGATTCAAGGACCAAATAAATTCTTCAATTCACTCTATAATGGTATGAACTACACATGCAAGCCTATTTTTAGAATAATACCATGATTTTAAGACTATCAATATCTTCAAATATTTGATATACACATTACAAAATTTACATATATATATATATATAAATTTCTATCTATAAATTAGCTATTTTATCATATGAATAAAATCTGAAAATTTCAACAATAAAAAAATGAGAGTGTTGGGAGGGTTTTCTTATTTAGTTGTAAGAATGAAATGGAATAATGAAATGATAGGAAAATATGCAACTTCAACCTCCTCCTTTTCTTCCACAAGAATTCCCTCTCTCTCTCTCTATATATATATATATTTTTTTTTTCCCGATTAGTCTACGAACGCAGTGTGTATAAACACTGTGTGTGGTATGAATATATAGAGGCCACTTCTCTCTCTCTCTCTCTCTCTCTCTCTCTCTCTCTCTTCATTCTAAGCTTTCTTTCCCTTAATTCCAAGAGCATAATGAGCTCTTCTTCCCTAAACAAACATGCAAACCAACATGTGGAAAGTTGCCACCAAAATCTACAAAGGTTTGTTTTTTTTTATTTATTTTTATTTTATTTTTTGTGTGTGTATTTGTGTGAGTTTCTGAAAATTGATACACCAAGATTTTTAACTAAGGTCTTTAGTAAGAATAATTATCATATTGAATCTTAATTAAAATAATTTATAAACAACAAATATTGAACACCCACAAAATTATTATTCTTAATAATGTCTTTGTTAGTGATTGAATTGGATCAATTTAAAACTAACTTTTACACTAATATGCATTTCAGATAGACTCTGGATAAAATTAATTAATTAATTATTTTTAAGAATAATTAAATGTGGGTTTTCACAGCATGTGTGCTTTTTAGATTAAGTTGATTAGGATTATTAGTAATGTGAGATTAAATGATGAAATTATTAATATAATATTTTGAATAATTTATAAATACAGTTCTTGAAGTTTATTAAAAGTAAATTCTCTTCTTATGTCTGAGAAATTACATTTCACCTCTTAAGATTTTTAAATACATAATAAATGATCCCATCTATTAATTAATTATTAAGTTAAATTAATAGAGTGTATGATATAAGTAGAAAAAAAAAAATCTTGAAAAATAACTATAATAACCATTACCAAGTCAGACATTTTTTTTTTTCTTCTCCTCATCTCACTTTTCTTATTTTGCATTTTCACTCAATTAGTAATATCATTTTGCCAAACCATCAAACCACCATATCACTCCTTAAGTTTTCTTAACACATAACTAATAATTCCCTCCATTAATCAATTGCTAAGTTAAACATAGTGTATGGCATAAGTAACATTTTGTTTTGTTTTGCCTTGTTTTTATTTTTATTTTATTATTATTATTATTATTATTATTATAGAAATACCTATATAAACTTTATGAAGTTATGCACTTTAATTTTATTAATTTTATTTTCTTATCTCACTTTCCATATTTTTCTATTTCCTCTCAATTAATAATACCACCTTCTCTAACTATCAAACCACCCTCTCCCACTCTTGATCAACACGATCGTCATTATTGTCTACATGTAATTTGGTGTGTTACGGAAGAAGATTGGAGAATATTATAATAGTGTAGAGAGAGAGGGGTTGGTGAATGACAATGAAGGTAATATGATAATTTCATTTCGGCATTAGATGGTATTTGGATAATTATTTTTTTAGTTGCCAATTTTTTTTTGATAATTGGTATTTATAATTTTCAAAATATGAGTGGGAATCCGTATTTTTAACAAATTTCAAAAGATATATTTGTAATTTGCTCTAACTTTTTTGTATATCAACAATCCAATGTCAGCTTGATTGTTGGATTAGTTGACTAGAATTATGCATACAAAATTAAAAATATAAGATAAATTGTATATGTTTATGAGCTAGTGTGATGTATTAATTGATTAGAATTAAGGAAAATGACATAACGTCGTAAAGGATATTATACAAAAGTGAGTCGAAAAGGTAGATTTGTATATTATTATAATAGGGTAATGTGAAACTATGATGTGTCAAGAAGATAATTAGTTGATAATTAGAAGATATTTAATTATCAACCAATCTTCTTCTTGACACATCACTAGATCTAAAAAGTAAGTCTAATTTTTGAGTTTGAATAACAATACTCTCTGATAAAAATAAATAAATAAATAAATAAAAATACTCTAGAATTAAATATATAAAATTATGTAAAATTTCTTTTATTATTTTTATAAAATGAGAGCAAAGTAATCTTTCGTTTCGAATCTGATGAGATATAATGAACAATTTTATCTTTTCCACAAAATTCTAATCGTATCCTTGAAGATCATTTACAATCCCATAGCTTTTTCTCAAATAAGCATATATTTTTTTTTGTGAGACTGAGAAAATTAGTAATCGAATCCCATTAATAATGGAATCCTATTGATTATGGAATAAAACCAACATGACCCACTAGTCGCATTGAGGCATTGGAATGTGGATAGACATAAGACCAAAAGCAGAAGTACCAAAGCAAAAGTATCTGGGTAGAGAAATTCCCACTCCATGTGGATAGCCTTGGTTCTGTCCCATTTCACGTGTAATATTATTTAGGATTAAACAATTAATGAAATTCTTATTTCTGAGTGGCACCCCATGCAAAATAAATGAGAAAATTACATTTTAATGGGATCTTCACAAAATATTTATAAATTTATGAAAAAATTTATAATTTTAATTATTAAAATTGATAAAGTTTATTCGTAATTTGATTTTTTTTTTTTTTAAACTACAACTGATTTGTATTTTTCCCGAAATAAATTCCATTTATCAGATTTTGATAGGAAAGAAAATCAAATGTGTTCGGACTTTTCAAGGAATTCATATGTGTTGGATTTCAAAGAAATTTTTTTATGCTTATTCTTAATGCATTAAAGTGTTATTATGAGAGTAAGACTTGAGAGTTGGGAGAAGTTAATAAACGCTAAGAATTTTTTTTTAAATAAAAAAATCAAGAAATTTAGATTAGGAGATTGGAGCTCTCACAAGGCTTAGGGTTAAAAACCCTCATTTTGTTTAATATATAGTATAGATAAGCACTAAATGGACCCACAATAGCCTGAACTAAACGATCTTGACCAATTGGAGACAATTAAGTCCCATGTATTATAAACTTTATATGGTAAGAACACATTTGTTTGGGATATTAAGAAGGGGATTGAAAGTGGATTGGATTTTTAATTCGATATTTGAGTGTGGGATAAGAAGAATAGGATTGGAGTTAGGAATTGTAGTATTATAACGATTATACCTCTTCAAATAATTGTTATTCTTGAAGGGTAAAAAATATTAAAATATTTTTATTTCATCACAATCAAAAATATTTTATTCCTTCCATCTAATGATTTATTCAATTTATCTCATGGCATAACTTATCCCTTATAATTTTAACTATAATCATATCGTATATTTAATTATTCTTCTCATCTAATTCCTTAATGTAACCTATATCTCACAATCTTATTAATAATCCATCGTATTTAACCACATAAAAAATAATTCCACAATAAAATATAGTCTAAAGAAGCCATTGTGTGACATGTTTATGGACAAATGCAAGGACCAATTAATGACATGCCTACCCTCTATACCAACTCACAGCTTTTCCACTATATAAAGGCTCAAGAGCCAAGTATTTTTCTCCAACTCTTGCCTTCAGTTCTATCATCCATTGTTTGATAATACTTGTGTTTGTTTGTGGGGAGGGGGATTGTTGAGATGGGTCTAACTGGTAAGTTGGTAAGGCAAGTAGAGATCAAGTCTGATGGGGATGTGTTCCATGAACTCTTTAGAGCCAAACCACACCATATCTCCACCATGTCCCCTGGTAACATACATGGCGTTGATTTGCATGAAGGTGATTGGGGACATGTTGGCTCTGTCATTTCTTGGAACTATACTCATGGTAAGCCTACACCAACACCAATTAACCCTAATTTAATACCTTTCTTTTTGTCTTTGTCTTTTTTTTTTCTTTCTTTTTTCCTTATACCAAAGATAAGTGGACACTTACAATTACGATTTTTATAAATTGTCACTAAAATTAACAATAAATGACGTTTTTTGTGACGAATTTTTTAAATTATTGCAAAAAGTTGAAAATTAGTGATTTTTTTTTGTGACGATTTTTTAAATTGTCGCTTAAACTTATAATTAGTGATATTTTTGTGACAATTTTTAAATTGTCACTAAAAATTAATAATTAGTGACGTTTTTTTAATAATATTTGGTAAAAAAACGTCATCAATTATCATAGAATCTATTGACCAATAAATTTACTTATTAGAACCTACATGAAAATAGATAAAGAATGAATTTGTGGTCCATAATAAAGTTCAGGTCCTGGTCTCTAAGTGCCCCAGTCCATAATCTATTGATCGGTAGGTTTAGGCCTCGTTTGACAACCTTCAGTTTTAGTCAAAAAGTCACTATAACTTGTCATATCACTCTCTCTATTTTTCTGTACATCTTTGCATAAAAAGTTAAAAATTACTAAAATAGCTAGTTTCTAAAGGAGGCTTTAATTTGCTCGGTGATGAATGGATTTGACCACAATGGTCGAAATTAGGTTAGACTCAACTGACTCAGAAGGCCAGTCCAGTCATCGATGGGGAATGAAACTTAGGTTGTGTTTGATTGGAGGATTTGAGATGTAGGAAATGGAAAGAGAAAAAGAAATAAAAAGAAGATGATAAAGAATTGATAAGATTCAAATTTCCAGTTATAGATAAAGTCTGATGGTGATTTGTTCCATGAACTGTTTAGACACAAACCACACCATATCTCCACCATGTCCCCTGGTGACATGGTGTTGATTTGCATGAAGGTGATTGGGGACATGTTGGCAATGTCTTCTCATGGAACTATAATGAAAAAAATGAATTTATATATGAACCAGCATTTTGTGTTCTTATAGACCATGCTCTTGTGAATCTAATGGTGTACTCATCATCTCTTTTATACAATCTCATTCTTAGGTGTCAGTCATATAATTCTTACTTAAGTTTTAAATATCAGTTGTTTTGTATTGTAACATCAGTTACATATTAAGATTTTGGATTTTAATATTGTTATTTATATATAGGTTAACAATGTTTGATAATGATTGATTTATGAGCAAATCAATTCATATCCCGATAGTTATTTAAAATCGTGTTGTAGAAATATATATGTTGTTTTATGGATCATTTAAAAAAAAAAATTCAATTACTCATATTCACATAAATTGCTAATAATACAAAACGATTATTGAAAATAAAAATAAAAAACCTCACATTTAGGCCTTGTTTGGCAATTTATTGTTTTAGCCTAAAAGTCAAAAAGGTACTAAAAAAATTAAAAAACTAACAATCTATATCAAAAAGTCAAAGATTCTATTTTTTTTATTTTTTGCACATCTTTTTGTACAAAATTAAAAAATCATTCCAAATATATTAATTTTTTTAATCTCATATTTTAACCAAAAAATTAAAAAATTAGAAAAATAATTTGTTTCCCAACCACACCTTAATCTATTTCTTGAACCGGGTAAATTTTTGGATAATGGTGCAGATGGGAAAAAGAAGGTTGCTAAGGAGGTTGTCGAAGCAATAGATGAGGAAAACAAGTCAGTGACCTTCAAGGTTATTGATGGAGATCTCACAGAGCTGTACAAGGCATTCAAAGGCACTGTCCATGTCGATACGAAGGGCGAAAACAACTTGGTGACCTGGACTCTTGAGTATGAGAAGAAGAGCGAGAATGCTGAAGATCCAAATACGTTGATGGATTTCGTCATCAATGTCACCAAAGATATTGAGACTCACCATCTCAAGTAATAGACACCTTCGGGTGTATGTGTGTCAAATGTCAATCTTATCATCTAATAATTGCAGTGTGGTGAAGCTTCTAAGTAAGTGTGTAAGATAAAATAAATAAATAAAAAGTCAAGTCTTTTCTCTAATAGCTTAAGTTGCAGAGGGTATTATCAATGCACGAATATCGTGTATTTAGTTCCTAATATTTATTAGCCAAATATGCACGAGTATGGGATAAGCATAAGTTAGAATGCCCTCTTTAATAACTTAAGTTTTTAAGATGAATTGACTGTTAACAATTTACATATATAATCTATTTTGTGGCTACTTTTGTATCAGTTAATATTGTAATTTATTTGTTAATTTTCATGGTGATGAAGTTTTTATTAGTAGAATTCTCTCTATCTCTCTTTGTTAATCTCTCATACAAAAATAGACATATATGTGTGTATTTACAATTTTTTTTCTTTTTTTATCGATAAAAATTAATTATTAATTATTAAATTAGCTCTTAATAAGAGTTGAACTCTCAACTTTTCATTTGCAAGTATCTAACTGTTGTTTTCATGTCACTAGGTCACAAAGTCATATATTTCATTAAACATATTGAATATACAGTCTTTTCTTTAATTATTTCTCTTGAAACCAAACATGATATATTAAATTTGATTTTTTTCACACACTTTGAATGTATGTCAACATAAAAACAAAATTTTATTGATACAAAATACAGAAGCCCACAACTTTGAATGGGATCAATAAACTTTTTATTGGGGTGTAAACCAATTGATTACTTGAGTTAGCATAATTACTGAGAACTCATTAAATAATTCTATAATTGTGTTGTTTGCACATAATCTATTTACCTAATAGATGACATAACAGTTTTTTCTTTAATTATAATAAAAAAAATAAAAAGATAGAAAAGAAAGTAGAGTAGAAATAGGGATGGCAATTTGAACCCAGCCTGACGGGGACCGGACCCCCGACTCCAGTTAGAACGGGTTTTTCCCGAAAATGATCCCCATAGGGCCGGCGCTGGTAGTAAAAATTAAATCCCTGATATTTTCGGGCCCAAGAACGGTGATAGGTAACCTAATATCTATCACAAGTTCTCAACTCTCTCTCTCTCTCTCTCTCTCTCTCTCTCTCTCTCTCGTTCTTCTCTCTCTACTCTCTGTGAGAGAGATAAATGAGCACAAGCACCTTCTAGATCTAAGCCACGACGAAAAAGTCTAGAGACAGATCGGCGACAGAGAGCTCCTTTCAGATCTGGGCCGATGAACATTTCTTAGCACCATCGTCAGCTGCTGATCGCACCACCGTCACCGGCACCACCACTACTCTCTCTTTCTCTCTTTCTCACACCTCCGTTTGCTGCCTTGTCTCCAGATCTACTGCCATTGTTCTCTCATTGGTCGCCCTCTAACCATCTCTAACTGTTCTTCCGATTTGAGATAATATATATACACTAGTTCTCAAGATCTTCACTATATCAACATCATTGATATAGATATAGATATATTTTGTTGTTGTTGATGTTGATGATGATGATCATTGATAATGATTTTGTGTTGTTGTTGTTGATGATGATGAGATAGCTACTATTTTGCTTTTATTTATTTATTTATTTATTTATTTTTGCAAAGGAATATTCAGGGTCTTGGAAACTCGATCCCCATTAGGGAGTGGGAGTGGGGGTGGGAATGGGAGCGGGGCCGGTGATAGGTTTCCAATCGGGGAACGAGGCTGAAGGAATTTTCACCATCGGGGATCGAGAACGGGGAGTGTAATCCCTGGCCCTGCACCACCCATTGCCATTCCACCGTGGAAACCATATGCTACTATGTAGAGCTCACAAGTGAAATCCATTTTTCTTTGTGGATGAATTCTGTAAAACTAATTTTATTCCTAATTCAATGAAATCGTATGAAGCACGGGTAGAAGTACTGGGGTACTGGTACGATATGGTAAAATATAAAATATAAAATAAAAAAAAAGTAGGGTACGGGGTACGGGTACGACTTGATACGTTTGTAAAAAATTATTTATTTTCATTTAGAGTAATGTAAAAATTAATTAAATGGTTTAATTTGTTAAGATCTAACCTATAATTAACATTTAATACCAAATGTAAAAGTATAATCAAAATTAAATATCAATATATAAAATAACTTACAAACCATAGTTTAATTTTAAAATCATACTAAGTATAAAACTAAAAATAAAAAAGAAATCTAGTGAAAGGAGTGTTATCTCTATAGTAGAAGAAAATATTGTTTCAACTGAGGTATGATATGACGTGGGTATGTACTAGGTATGTTTGGGTATGCCAAAAATTGAGAAAAAAAAATGTGAGTACTTGTTTTATGTACCCAGTATGTATGCAGAAGTACCATATGAGGTACCATATGCTAGTAAGTACTCGATACGAATACGATGTGTTTTTCAAAGTACCCGTGCTTCATAGATGAAATGCATTGAAATAATACGAAGGGAAATATAAATTTTAAAGGGCTAATTGCTTTTTTAGTTATCAAATGATGGGGTTTGTATCATATGCACCACTCAAAGGATGTGTATCATATATATCTTGTAATTAAAAAAGAAAAAGAAAAAAAGAATAGTATAATTTCATATATATCCAGGTCGTCTTTTTCTTTCTCGTTTGAGTCTGTTGTAACCGAGAATTCGGACGATTTGGATGTGCTTAATGAGAATCAAGTAACTGTGTTTTTTTTAACATCAGATTATAATTATTAACATCAGATTATAATTATTTGTGATCTAATTTTTTTTTAACATCAGATTATAATTATTAACATCAGATTATAATTATTTGTGATCTAATTTTTTTTTAACATCAGATTATAATTATTAACATCAGATTATAATTATTTGTGATCTAATTTTTTTTTAACATCAGATTATAATTATTAACATCAGATTATAATTATTTGTGATCTAATTTTTTTTTAACATCAGATTATAATTATTAACATCAGATTATAATTATTTGTGATCTAATTTTTTTTTAACATCAGATTATAATTATTAACATCAGATTATAATTATTTGTGATCTAATTTTTTTTTAACATCAGATTATAATTATTAACATCAGATTATAATTATTTGTGATCTAATTTTTTTTTAACATCAGATTATAATTATTAACATCAGATTATAATTATTTGTGATCTAATTTTTTTTTAACATCAGATTATAATTATTAACATCAGATTATAATTATTTGTGATCTAATTTTTTTTTAACATCAGATTATAATTATTAACATCAGATTATAATTATTTGTGATCTAATTTTTTTTTAACATCAGATTATAATTATTAACATCAGATTATAATTATTTGTGATCTAATTTTTTTTTAACATCAGATTATAATTATTAACATCAGATTATAATTATTTGTGATCTAATTTTTTTTTAACATCAGATTATAATTATTAACATCAGATTATAATTATTTGTGATCTAATTTTTTTTTAACATCAGATTATAATTATTAACATCAGATTATAATTATTTGTGATCTAATTTTTTTTTAACATCAGATTATAATTATTAACATCAGATTATAATTATTTGTGATCTAATTTTTTTTTAATATCAGATTATAATTATTAACACTTGCAGCAGATTAATTATTAACATTTTTGATCTTTTTTTTTTTTTTTTTCTAAATATGATTGGGTTCAATACCTCTCTAATTTTTTTTTCGTTCTACATCAGATTATACCTCTGAAGAAGAAACAAGAAACAAGAAAAAAAATCAAAAAAAATTGAGATGAAGAGATTCTGACCAGTTGCTTGGTTGCTAGGTGGCTGATATGCAGTGCAGGGGACGAATTGAAAATAGATGCTTGCTGATCAGTTTTTTTTTAAAAAAAAAAAAAAAAAAAAAAAAAAAAAGATGAAGAAGAAGAAACGAAGAAGATGACAGAAGAGGGTGGAAGGAAGATTAAATAGAGAAGAAGAAGGCTACGAAGAAGGCGAAGAAGAAGATGAAGACGAAGAAGAAGAAGACTCACCGGAACTCTTGCGTCGCCGTCGCCGGAAGGGAATGGTGGGTCGCCGTCGCGTCGCCTCTTCGTGCTGTGTCGCCTCTCCTCTTTGCTCGACTGATGACAGATTAGGGCAAGAGTGATGACATTAGGGCAAAAGAAATTCATTCCTAATTTCGTAAATATATTTTTTTTTTTTTTAATTTTTCTTAATATTGCTCCGGTGCCCCTCAATTCTCCAGAAAATTCGATTTTTGCCCCGCCGTACCCAAAACGCACCAAAGGCGTACCCATGCCGTACCCGAGCCGTACCCATGGCGTACCTGACAAAGGCAGACGTACCCGACTACTTTTTGCCGTACCCAGTACGCGTGCAGCCGTACCGGTACGCGTACCCGCACCCGGGTTGATTTGCATGAAGGTGATTGGGGACATGTTGGCTCTGTCATTTCTTGGAACTATACTCATGGTAAGCCTACACCAACACCAATTAACCCTAATTTAATACCTTTCTTTTTGTGTCTGTCTTTTTTTTTTCTTTCTTTTTTCCTTATACCAAAGATAAGTGGACACTTACAATTACAATTTTTATAAATTGTCACTAAAATTAACAATAAATGACGTTTTTTGTGACGAATTTTTTAAATTATTGCAAAAAGTTGAAAATTAGTGATTTTTTTTTGTGACGATTTTTTAAATTGTCGCTTAAACTTATAATTAGTGATATTTTTGTGACAATTTTTAAATTGTCACTAAAAATTAATAATTAGTGACGTTTTTTTAATAATATTTGGTAAAAAAACGTCATCAATTATCATAGAATCTATTGACCAATAAATTTACTTATTAGAACCTACATGAAAATAGATAAAGAACGAATTTGTGGTCCATAATAAAGTTCAGGTCCTGGTCTCTAAGTGCCCCAGTCCATAATCTATTGATCGGTAGGTTTAGGCCTCGTTTGACAACCTTCAGTTTTAGCGAAAAAGTCACTATAACTTGTCACATTACTTTCTTTATTTTTCTGTACATATTTTCATAAAAAATTAAAAAATTACTAAAATAGCTTGTTTCTAAAGGACGCTTTAATCTGCTCGATGATGAATGGATTTGACTGCGATGGTCGAAATTAGGTTAGACTCAACTGACTCAGAAGGCCAGTCCAGTCATCGATGGGGAATGAAACTTAGGTTGTGTTTGATTGGAGGATTTGAGATGTAGGAAATGGAAAGAGAAAAAGAAATAAAAAGAAGATGATAAAGAATTGATAAGATCAAATTTCCAGTTATAGATAAAGTCTAATGGTGATTTGTTCCATGAACTGTTTAGACACAAACCACACCATATCTCCACCATGTCCCCTGGTGACATGGTGTTGATTTGCATGAAGGTGATTGGGGACATGTTGGCAATGTCTTCTCATGGAACTATAATGAAAAAAATGAATTTATATATGAACCAGCATTTTGTGTTCTTATAGACCATGCTCTTGTGAATCTAATGGTGTACTCATCATCTCCCTTATACAATCTCATTCTTAGGTGTCAGTCATATAATTCTTACTTAAGTTTTAAATATCAATTGTTTTGTATTGTAACATCAGTTACATATTAAAGATTTTGAATTTTTAATATTGCTATTTATATATAAGTTAATAATGTTTGATAATTATTGATTTATAAGAAAATCAATTCATATCCCGATAGTTATTTAAAATCGTGTTGTAGAAATATATATGTTGTTTTATGGATCATTTAAAAAAAAAAATTCAATTACTCATATTCACATAAATTGCTAATAATACAAAACGATTATTGAAAATAAAAATAAAAAACCTCACATTTAGGCCTTGTTTGGCAATTTATTGTTTTAGCCTAAAAGTCAAAAAGGTACTAAAAAAATTAAAAAACTAACAATCTATATCAAAAAGTCAAAGATTCTATTTTTTTTATTTTTTGCACATCTTTTTGTACAAAATTAAAAAATCATTCCAAATATATTAATTTTTTTAATCTCATATTTTAACCAAAAAATTAAAAAATTAGAAAAATAATTTGTTTCCCAACCACACCTTAATCTATTTCTTGAACCGGGTAAATTTTTGGATAATGGTGCAGATGGGAAAAAGAAGGTTGCTAAGGAGGTTGTCGAAGCAATAGATGAGGAAAACAAGTCAGTGACCTTCAAGGTTATTGATGGAGATCTCACAGAGCTGTACAAGGCATTCAAAGGCACTGTCCATGTCGATACGAAGGGCGAAAACAACTTGGTGACCTGGACTCTTGAGTATGAGAAGAAGAGCGAGAATGCTGAAGATCCAAATACGTTGATGGATTTCCTCATCAATGTCACCAAAGATATTGAGACTCACCATCTCAAGTAATAGACACCTTCGGGTGTATGTGTGTCAAATGTCAATCTTATCATCTAATAATTGCAGTGTGGTGAAGCTTCTAAGTGTGTAAGATAAAATAAATAAATAAGTGAAACTTCTAAGTGAGTGTGTAAGATTAAATAAATAAATAAGTTAACTCTTTTCTCTAATAGCTTAAGTTCCAGAGGGTATTATCAATGCACGAATATCGTGTATTTAGTTCCTAAACCTAGCCTAATAGAATTAGGAAACTAAATAATTTAATTAAATAATAAAAAAAATACAAATAAATCTTCTAGTTGCTCGCGGGTCGGAGCCGCACCATCTCGCATGTATCGGTGATTTGCCCATGCTGTGCACATCCATTTCCACGAGAAGGCCCGTTCTTCCTTTCAATTGCAAGGTTTTTCATAATGTAATACTCTCTTATTTATTGAAAAACAAAAAAAAACACAAAACAAAAATACACGAAGCAGATAACTTCACGTTGGGGATTTTCTAAAATAAAAATAGATTTATTTTTTAATGTTTTCAAAAACCTTCTTTGTTTCCTTAAAAAACACATTTAACTTTGTGGCTTGTCCCACGTCGAAAAGATGAGAGAAAATAGATGGTTTAATAAATACTCATATAAATTATTTCTTTGAATAAAGAATTGTGAAAAAGGTGCTAGAGTATATGCTCATACACTGCAACCATTCACACACGCACACAGGTGCGGCGTTTGATGGTGCAAAGCGCCTTGAGGTTAGATCTAATCAGATGCGATCAAGGATTTCCAATCCTATAAATACTCAGCATGGACACATCAGCGCAAAGCGTCTTGAGATTAAATCTAATCAGGTGCAATCAAGGATTTCCGATCCTATAAATAAACATGCGATCAGGCCAATCAAAGCATCTAAAAATCTCAACGATCAAGTCTAAAATTCAATTCTCTCTCTTTCTTTTGATTTTGATTTTTCAATCAACAACTTTATGTTTTTCAAGAAACAAAATATCATACCTTGATGTCTTCGTCTGTGTAAACAGTTAGAAGATCTTTAGATCAGCTTCGTTGTATCCTGAAGGCGGATTTGCTATTAATCCAATGCATACCATCTGGTGGGGACAAATATTTGTTTTAGAAAAGCGACAATCATAAAGCGACTCAATGTAATTTAGGCTTTTATTTTAAAGTAACATTATCAACATCGTCATCCCAAAGAAGACTTGCACAACACTTCTTGTTGTTAGCCCAGCCATACTATAAGACAAATAAAATTTCAATTATTTTGTTTATGGATTTATTCAAATCCCGATGGCAAAGCAACTCTATAGGCCACCAGGCCAGGCCTTTCCAGAATCTGAAATGGCCCAATGTAACAGGGTGACAACTTGCCCTTCTTTCCAAACCTGACTTGGCCTTTCATCGGAGA